CATGCTTATAGAATGTTAGTCCGAAAATCTACTAGGGTCACCCGCTCTCTTTGGTATATGGAATGGAAGCTGTGCTAGCAGTTAAAGTGGAAATTTCCTCGCTGAGAGTCCTAATGGAGGTAGAGTTAGAGAAAACAGAATGGGTTCAAAATCGCTACGAGCAGTTGAACCTCATTGAAGAGAAAAGACTTACAGCACTTTATCATGGTCAATTGTATCAAAAGAAGATAATGAGAGCACATGATAAGAAAATCTATCCCCGTTGCTTTAGAGAATGAGATTTAGTACTGAAAAAGATCTTTCCAAATCAACATGATAATTAAAAAAAATAGACACCAAATTGAGAAGGCCCGTATATGGTGAAAAAGGCATTTTCTGGTGAAGCATTAATTTTGGCAGAGATGGACAAAAATGATTTACCTACTCTGATAAACTCAGATGCTATGAAAAATATTTTGCTTGAAAAAAAAAGAACAAAAAAGTAAAAAATAAAAAATAATGGCTCATCTAAGCTGAAAACCTGAAAAAGGCGGTTTGGATTCGAAGAAGAAGCATTATTCCATAATACAAGGACAAATGTAGTTTGATGAACTCTGAAGGATCAAGGAAGTCATCTAATTTAGTTTTAGAGAAAAAATTTGAGAATATTTTGTTCATGATTATCTTATGATCATTATTTGGGCACCTTTGTTTCAACTCAAATACTTTACCATGCACTTGTTACCAGTTTAATAAAATATGCTATCTTTCCTTTAAAAATAACACCTATCCATTTCTTTATTCTCATTTGTTGACCGCCATACGAATAGGAGAAATGTGTGATCGTATTTTATTAGTCTTGGACTTAAAATAATGAAAAGAAAAACAAACATGAAAGATCTTAGCATTATTTTTTAAAAGTTGACAAAAGCAAATGAAAAAAAAAGAGAAAAGCATGACAAGACATTGATGTTGTAGACTTTTGAAGAAAAGTATTGGTAGGGAAGAATTCAATGGTCAGATGTTAAGAATTCTGATAAAAGAAGCAAAAAGTTAGAGATTTTAAGAACCTTTTTACCCCAATGAATAATTCTGATTGCATTACATGCATTACATTTAGAGCACTCAGTACATGCATCCATGAATAATGAGGACAGAGACTTTCCATTTCTTAATCAAACAAAAGATTTAAAAAGAGAAAAATTTACTTGTTCAAAGATGAGAACTCGATTTGAATAACATATGAGATTTTTAAAGTTGTTGAGCCTCTGCTGATAGAGCTTTTCAAGATGAAATTTTTAAAGTTGTTGAGCCTCTGTTGATATGAGCTTTTTTAAGATGAGATTTTTAAAGTTGTTGAGCCTCTACTGAGAGGAGCTTTTTTAAGATAAAAATTTTAAGTTGTTGAGCCTCTGTTGAGAGGAGCTCTTTTCAAGATGAGATTTTAAAGTTGTTAAACCTCTAATGAGATGAGCTTTTTCAGATGAGATTTTAAAGTTATTGAGCCTCTGCTGAGATAAGCCATTTTCAAGATGAGATATTTAAAGTCGTTGAGCTTCTGCTGAGAGGAGCCCTTTTCAAGATGATATTTTTAAAGTTGTTGAGCCTTTGCTCTGAGATGGGCCTTTATTGATAGGAGCCCTTTATAAGATGAGATTTTAAAGTTGTTGAACCTTTACTGAGAGGAGTCTATTTCAGATTTTAAATTTTAAAGTTGTTGAGCCTCTGTTGAGAGGAGCTTTTTCAGATGAGATTTTAAAGTTGTTGAGCCTCTGTTAAGAGGAGCCCTTTTCAAGATAAAATTTTTAAAGTTGTTGAGCATATGCTGAGAGGAGTCTTTTTCAGATTTTAAATTTTCAAAAGTTATCGAGCCTCAAGTGAGAGAAGTATTTTCGATTTGAAAAAAAAAACTTTTTGAGTAGTCTATGTTAAAAAAAAAGAGAAAAAAAAAAGAAAAGAAAAATCCATTTAAATTCTGGATAAAATTATTGTCTTTATCATTGCCTTATTACTGATTATCAGCAATGTGCAAAGAGGGGCAGTTGTGGACATTAAATTTGTCCAGCAAAAAAAATATTAAATACAATAATAAAAATTAAACAAAAATATAAAATACAAAAAAAAAACCAAAATACAAAATACCAAAAACAAAAAAAAAAATAAACAGAACAGAAAAAAATGGGGGATGGTAGTGGTGCCTTCCTTGGCACCACTACCACCATATCCTACCACCCATCCCTCACCATGCTTTACCCCACACCTCTCTGATCACCTTACCCTACCACCCATACCACTACCCCGCTTAGTTGGATAAAACAAAAAAAATAATAAGGCATGGGGCTTGTGCTTACACCCCATGCTGAGCCCTGTGCCTTTCCTTCAAGCACACGTACGATCGGAGCTCTATAAATAGAGCTCCTGGCTAAACAAGAATAAAGGAAGCTGTAAAAAAGATATAAAAAAAGGGGAGCTTTCTACTTAAAAAAAAAATTCAATACAGTCCTCCCCGTAAGGAGGAACCTAGGGCCGAGAAGCTTCTTACACAAAGAAAAAAAAAGAGTCAGTTTCAAAAAAACAAAAGAGAGAATAAAAAAAAAAAAAGAGGTTTGACCGAAACTTTAAGAGCAGATCTGAGGAATTTGAGATTATGTTTGATGAAAATGAGGCTGAATCTGTGTTTAGGGGGTTGAGGAGAACATTTTAGGTGATTTTAGTTTTTTTCGATCACCGACGACGGCGATCGACGACAAGCGACGACGGCAGAGACGGCGACCGGTCCACCGTGACGGCGATCGGCCGGCCACCTGTGTGTAGCTGAAGAGAAAAAAAAGAAAGGGTTTTTTTCTGAAGAGGGAAGAAAATGATCGAAAAAAAATTTGGGCTTTTATATAAGTTGTCAATAGCCAAAACAACGTCGTTTCAATAATTGCCCAAAATGATGTCGTTTTAAGCACTCAGGATCCGCGCGTCAACCTGCGACCCGACCCGGGGTCCGTGCACCCGACCCGTGACCCGTTTCCTTCATCAGCTTTTAACCGGTCCGACTGAATCGAAACTGAACCGCTGAACCCGACCTGGATCGAAACTAAACTGCTAAACGTGATCAAATCGCTGATGCCAGATCGAACCGTGTGTTGATTGGATCGTTGATCGGTCTGATTCAGGTAAAAAAATTTTTTTTTGAATTTTTTTATATATTATTTTATTAATATTTATGCATATTAAAATATTTATATTTGTTAGATTAAATAATAAAATATCTGGTTAAATTTTTTTAAATTCTATTAATTTTTAAAATAAACTTTAAAAAATAAAAAAATAAACTTAATGATAATACAAAAATTAATAAAAATGCAAGAAAAGAAAATTTTTATCCGACGATGAGATTTAAAGGTACTCTGAGTAATGATATTTACGAAATCTCTAGGTGAGAAGATTTTTTTAAAAATACTACTAGTGTATTGGAGTATTTATAAAAAATTTTTCAATAAAATAAAAATTTTTTTTGTTATAATAATAATAATAATAATAATGATAATAATAATAATTAACTAATAAATTAAAAATAGGTAATAAAAAATGAGAAAAAAAAGAAAATTTATCTGATGATGGGATTCCAAAAGTATTCCGAATAGAGATGCTTTAAAAAATCCTTAGGTGAGAAGATTTTTTCTTAAATATTACCAGTGTATTGGAATATTTATAAAAAATCTTCAATACAATAAAAATTCCTCTATTCTTCATTTCTTTTAAATAAGAATAATAATAAAAATTAATAAAATTTCTAAAAATAAAAAATAAAATGTGTGCATCATGTTATTATTTACATTGCATGCATGACATAATTTTTACAAAAAGTAAATTCGGATCTCCGATAATGAGATTCTTAGGTATTTTGAGAAGCGATGTCTAAGAAATCTCTAGATAAAAAAGAGTTTTTCTAATATTACCAACGTACTAGAGTATTTTGAGAATTATTTCAATAAAAAATATTCTAATTTATTTTTTTCAAATAAAATTTGAATAATAAATTTTTAAAAATAAAACCAAACAAACCAATTTCCAAAAAAAAAAATCAAGAAAGTTTTTTTTCCAAACACCGAGAATGAGACTATTTTTAATCAAAATCAAAAGATAACACGTAGTTAAGTGGTACCATTTTTAAACAGGCATCGTAGGGATGCTAATCCTTTTTCACGCTTAATCGACTCCTAAACCTAAACTGTTTCACAGACCGTGAAATTATCTTTTTAATAAATTTTAATTAATTTTAAAATCTTATTAGAATGATAAATTTTAATAGGTGTCCAATCGCACCTAGCCAAAAAAGATTGGTGGTGACTCCATTTTTCGTTTTTTTATTTTCGTTTTCAAATTCGTCGGACGAATATAAAACTTTTACGACAAGAGTCTTAAATTTAAAGTAATCCACATTTTAATTTCAAATAAAAAACACTTGTTTGCACCAAAACAAAAAAAAAGGAGCATTTGATCAAGGTACTTTGACATAAAGCTCTCCGAGATGAGAAGATAATGCTGAATATAAGGCCTAGCTATATAATTTGGAGAGGCAATTCCGGGATCAAATCTTCCAGGCTTGGAAAACTTCAGCTTGGAGCCTTGCACCCTTTTTAAGAATAAGGAGAATTGGAATTGATCGTCATGGTTTCTTGGGACGGATTGCATAAAAAAAAAAATTATAGCCTCAGATTAGTATATCTGATGAGGGTTAAATGTTCAAAAAATGCACCTTATAAATCTTCCCTGGGTCCCAAGCAAAACAACCAAAAATCGAAGAGGGAAAAACCAAGTTCTGAAAACTCGAGAGGCAAACAACAAAACCTGAGGGAACAAGTAATTGTGTTATGGAAATGACAAATATCAATACCCACAACTTCGGATCTCCTCGTATCTCCTTACATGGTTGCTATTAATAGTCGGTCATTAACTTTGAAAGCAGCTAAGCAACTGCCACGTGTTCACTCAGGCAAGACACCAAACCCATGTATGAAGAGAGATTTACAGCATTAAGGAAACCAGGGGTTGCATGCTGTCATCTCCGTTTGCTTCGGGTTTCATCATAAATAAAGTAGAAGAAACCAAAGCAATATCTCCTTCTTCTGCTGTTTGACTCTATTTTTTATTCTTTATTTCTTTTTCTTTGTCGTTTAATATATTATTTCACCTCCTGTTTAGAGAACTCCTCCAGGCATCCAGGACATGAAGAACATCTGTTTCTGTCTCCGAGGTTCTTGGGTTGTTCTGCCTTGAATATATAGTGTTAATTTTGTGGTATTTCTGAATCAAGAAATTCAAGCAGAAAAGGGGAAGATATGAAGATAGATGAGGATCTTGGTTTAGATCGAGAAGATGCATTCCAAACAGACGATGAAGAAAATCAAGCTGAAAGGGTATGTAGTAACGTTGAGGATGACACAGAATCTGATTTCACCTTCCCATCACGAAATTCCTCCAGTAATTGCCTTGAAGTAAACAATTCATCATGGCCACAAAGTTACAGGTTTTCTTTTCTTTTTCATTGCCTTTTGGATTTCGTTTTTCTCTCTTTTTCCTCTCACAACTTGGCATGCTTGGAGCTAGTGCTTAGTTATTGGACTATTTAGATATAAATAATCTTCACATCTTTTTGGTGGCATTTGGTGCATGTCTACCCAGTTTTTTGGCATTTTGAGGTCTAAATTATTAGGAAAATAAGATTTTGGATTGTTATGCATGGGAAAATACTGATTAAAATCTTGCAAAAATAACATTTGACATGTTTGATTGAATAGGCACTCTTGTGAAAAGTGCTGTCAAACTTCAACATTATCCTTTGTTAATTGAAATGGAATTCACTGCATATATACAAACATTTAGCCCTTAAGTGTCCTATTTGGAAACAGTATTCTGAAAGTGAATTTAGATTTCATTTATTACTCAAACAATGAATATAAGACTGTTAAAAAAATGTCCAAATTATTCCTCATCAGTTTGAATTTAGATTTTTTATGTGCTTTTTCATCCTTATTAGATGTAAATGAGGGAAATTTTGGTATAATTATTTACATATTTAGACATTCTTTAATGTTTCTCTTTAAGCTTTCTACTAATTAATCAAGATTCAGATATATGATAGTTGAGCAAACATGGTTGCAGTAGTTAAACATTGTCAGGATTTTGCATGAAACAACAAAACTATTTATTAAAACATAGCCATGCATTCGTTGAATTCATGCAGGGAATCAATGGATATGCTCAAAGGTGTTATGCCTCCATCCATTAGTTTCCTAAAGGGAACTAGTGCAACAGGATTAATAGGCAGTTCATCATTTTGCATATATCAAAGCAACGATGATGAGTCTTCCCTCGGTAATTCACTCATTTCTGAAAGAAATTTAGATGAAGTGCCTACCTCTACTCTCCCTGCTTCGCAGGAAAGAATATCTGTCAATGGATCAACAGCATCACAGAAGCAGTGTTCATTTACCCAAGCACTTGTTAATGGTAAGAAACCATGTAATCTTCCATTTTTAAGTCAATCACCTTTAATTTTAGTATATGCTCCACGAGAGAAAAACCATCTTGTCAATTTTATAGTAATTGAATCTTTTTAAATGGAGGGTTACTATATCACATACCACCAATTTTATATCTTTGTTTTTCTTTATGTAGGAATCAATGTTCTGTCCGGCATAGGACTCCTTACAACTCCTTATGCAGTCAAAGAAGGAGGGTGGTTGAGCCTCACACTACTCATGATATTTGGTTTCATTGCCTGTTATACTGGGATTTTATTAAAGAGATGTTTAGAAAGCTCTCCTGGTCTACAAACTTATCCTGATATTGGACAGGCTGCTTTTGGGGTCGCTGGTCGCCTAATGATAGCTGTAAGTTGATTATAAGTAAAAATTTGTCCAATGTTCTCCTATGCTGCAATCTAGTTGGAAATCACAATTGTTAAAATGGTGACACTAACACTTGGTTTTAATTTGTGAAATGCAGGTGCTTTTGTATGCAGAACTATATGTAAGTGCTACGATTTCTTTATGGTTGGTCTATCACGGTTTCCTATTTATTATGGTTCCATCTCATGTTCTGCACTAAAAATTGAACAGCGCCTCTGATCTGTAGGCTGCGTGTGTGGAGTACGTAATAATGATGAGCGATAACCTGTCGATTATTTTCCCAAACACCAGCCTCCATTTTGCTGGAATGTATCTTGACGCTCATCAAATATTTGCTATCATAGGAACTCTCATTGTTCTCCCAACTGTTTGGCTCCGAGACCTCAGTTTGCTCTCATACCTTTCAGGTTTCTCGTCCGCCTACCACTTCCCCCAATATCTTGTTTCATTTATAATTCCACGTTCTAAGCTAAAACTGATGATCTTAACTGTTTAAATGTTCAGTTGGTGGAGTTGGAGCATCACTTTTAGTGGTGCTTTGCTTGTTATGGGTTGGGGCATTTGATCAAGTCGGGTTTCATCGAGGCGGAACTGTTCTGGGTCTTGCAAACCTACCCATTTCAGTTGGCATATATAGTTTTTGCTACGCTGGCCATTCAGTTTTTCCAAATATATATTCTTCCATGAAAGAGCCGTCACTTTTTCCACTTGTTCTTATAGCCAGGTAACACAAAATTTCACTGTCTGCTTATGCCTATAATTATTCAAAAATTTACAAACTCTAGATAATCAAAATCGTTTATGCTTTTGATACAAAGTCTCTGGGAATAATAAGCTTTTTTAACTTCTGTTTCCTCTCTTCCAGCTTTATATTTTGTTGGTTCGTGTGCACAGGGGCAGCAATCTCCGGTTTTATGATATTTGGTGACTCAGTTGAAGCACAGTTTACTTTAAACATGCCCATAAAATTTGCTGCTTCTAAAATCGCAGTCTGGACAGTGGTACGTTGAGACACCACCATTCAGTTTCCTATGCATCCTTTTGCACAGTCCTGGATCACTATTATACTCCTGATTCAAACAATTAATATTGCTTATAGAATTTCGGATTAATATCTCAAGCCTATATGTCTATTGGCTTCAGGTTATTATAACAATATCCAAGTATGCCTTGACGCTCACTCCCATCGCATTGAGTCTAGAAGAACTTGCACCTTCGACATGGTTCAGATCCTATGGTGTTTCAATACTCATCAGAACAGCTCTAGTGATTTCAACTTTAGTTGTTGCCATGACATTTCCCTTCTTCGGTAAAAATAGAATTAACATTTAGACTTATGACTCTAATTATTTGTTGTTTGGTTTAGAATATGCTTTATAAGGTCTAAAATAGATTAACATATTGCCTTCATGCTCATTGGTTAACTCTACTGCAGCTTTTCTGATGGCATTGGCAGGATCTTTGCTTGCAATGCTAATTGTAAGTTCCCTCTTCGGATCGGTCTGATATTTACTCTTTAGAGGCAGTTAATAACAAGAGTATTTTGAACCAATTTCTCTGTTTAATGTTTTATGACAGGCTATTATCTTCCCATGTGCCTGTTATCTCAGCATACTTCACGATAGATTAACTAAGTTACAAGTAAGAATTCTTTGTTTTCCAAGATTAGTTTATATCTTTGCAATCTATTTTTGTTTTTATTGTAACCAGCCCTTAATGTGAATATTTTCATTTTTGTTCTCTATTCAGATAGCAGTCTGCATTTGCATTGCTATTCTAGGATTGGTGATTGCTTGTGTTGGCACATATTCTTCAATTATAAAAATAGCTGGCCAACTTGATTGATCAAAGGGTTTCCATTGAGATCCTTTGCCTTCCGCCTTTATTTAGATGATCGAGATAAATCATGAGTAACTTCCCTCCATAGTGACTAGCACCTACATTTCCATTAGCTTATAGCATCAGACATGACCAGGGTGAAGAGTCTTTTATACATGTTCCACAGTCTTTAAGACAAAAATTGTATACAATTTCTTATGTATTGTTGGGCATCTTTAATTAATCATTCATGTGTCAGCTCATAAGTAGCAGCTGCTTGAATATTTGGGTCCATGCCACTGCTTGCCAGGTCTTCCAAGTTCCAACTTCTTTTTGGGAGCCCTTGTATTTGCTAATTGAGAACTTGCCAGGTCTTTGTCAATGGAGCATGCATATGCGTCATAAAATTCTTTCCTCAAGAAGTTGATATCAACAAATATCCTGTCTATTGTGTTACAGCATGTTGTATTTGTTAAATCAGAAACTGATGGCTCATTATTCAGAACACCATGTTACATGAAGAAATAGTTATTTCTCGAAGACTGATCGAAGAGATGACTTGGAAGTTTATTTCCTGAAGTTCGAAAAAAAAAATAGAAGTAAGACAAAATAGGGATTTAAATCATCTAATTCAGCCACATAGGAATCTATTAAAGCATTATCAAATGCATGAGAACATTAAAGTAGCTAAATTGTTCAAAATTCTACAATATACTCACCAAATTCCTCAACAGCCGTTTTTTCATTTTGATAGTTCCTTAGAGGGAGAGAGGATTCAAAAGGACAAGGCTGCCTTTCAGATCTTTTTCTTGCTTAATGGTGGGGGTACATTTTCCATTTTCTTTATGTCGACAAGACCATGAGTACTGAAATCCTGGACAACCTACCATGTAGTACCTGTCCAAATTTTGATATCCAGTCGATGAAACACAAGTCTTTTTTTGCGTCACAGAAACATTGTCACTGAGATAAAGTGGAACTTTGAGCACCAAATCCAACATGGGAAAATGGGTTACCATAACCAGAGCCTGACCCAACGATCCTGTGTTTCTAAACAATTCAGCACAGCATGTGCTACCTCCTGACAGCTATGTCTTTAACTGAGTGCAGGGAATTGGATTCAAGAATCTAGGACACTAGCGCATGTGAATGTCAAATAATTTATCCACCTTTTCCGGTTTGAACTGCAATCCATTAGATATCAGTGCATTAACTTCATCCGCGCTGTGAGCATGTCCACTCGTTGATTTTTCTTACAGGTTTAGTAGAAAGTAGAAAAGGTATCTTTCAACAACTTCCCAACAGGATTCATGTTCTGATTGTCAAGAAGTTCGTTTTTGGTTACATGTCCCAGTCAGTGTTTTAATGAATTTTTTCGTATCTTACACATTCCACGAATTGGTTTCTGATTATGGTAAGAAATTGGACAGTGACCCTAGCACCATGAATTCCGATGTCAGACATATCACATTGAGAGGTCTCCTTTTAAATTGAACCCTTAAAACCCAAACATCATATCTTCATTAAAATCAATTCATTATCACTTCTTCTCTTAGTCATCAGAAATTGTATGTAAATATAGAAAAAAATTCACACCTACCCTTTTACTTAGATGTACAGTACATTTGTATCGGTAGTATTCTATTATTTAAAAGAGAACCCACCAACCCTGCAGTGAAGCACAAGCCACAAAAACACTGCAATACGATCTAATTTATTGATGGAAAGTGGGTCCCAATTTCATGGACCACGGTACAAACAGAAGTTTCTTTTCGATTTATATAATCAACATCCACTTGAATTTTTATCAGAAAAATTAAAAATTTTACTAAAATATTTTCTACATAAAAGAAATAGCACTACTGTCAACTGAGTAAGTTTGGTGGGGAAATAGAGATAAAATCATAGCAACTTATACGGTTTACATTTCCTTCCAAAGATAATCTGATAAAAGCATCAATTCAAGAATAAGAAAAGAAAGGAATGAGTGACGTAAAGATAAGCAAACAAGACAAGAAAATCAGGTTCTTTAACCAAAATGCACGATTCATAAAAGGGAAATTTACCTTATGATTTAAGAGTTGCAAGAATCAAATGACTGAATCAGAACAAGTAACAGACAAAGTATAAGTTTAAATATACAAAATTTTCTTAAAAAAGAATCTTTTTTTGTTACTTTTCCTTAAAAATATCTGAACTACTGAGTAGATGGTGAGTCTTGATCAAATATTGGAAAAAGATCACTGTAAAAATTAAAAAAAAAAAAAAAAAACAACAACAACAATAACCAAAAAAACTAACTAGCTTGGGAATTAATTGATGGCAAGTTTTTTTCCTTTTTTTTTTTTTTTCCGAAAGTTTTATTTCTGGGTTGGCACATTAAGGGGAACTTTTATAAAAAGTTTAAGTTTTTTAACTTTATAAATAAGTTAGTAAATAATAAGTATTAAATTTATATAATTAAATATTAATTATTGATTAAATTTTGGAGTAAAAACGAGTAAAAATATTGTCTGAAGATTCTAGAACAAAATTTATATAAAAAATTTAAATAATTTTTACTTTATGCAATAGTTTTTTATTTTTCATTTTATTATATATTTATGAAATTACTTAAAAATAAAAAATAATAATTAAAAGTATTCTTTTTTTAAAAAATTTTAATGCAATTGGTATTTTCTAAAATAATTAAAAGGTATTACAAAATAAAAAATAATTCTAAAGAAATTAAAAATATTAACATAATTCTTTCAAAGAAAAAATTAACTTAAAAGAATTTATATTTTAAACTAAAATCAAAAAATTATTAACATAAGAGATGAGAGAAATAATAAAATTTATATCTATTTATGCAAAATGAAATAGAATTATTGTAACATGTTAAAAAACAAATTATGAAAAATTTAAATATAATTGGATGTAAGAAAAGAGTTAAAATAATTATTTAATATAAATAATTAAGTTAATAATGTAAAATTTAAATGAATTATTTTTATTATAAATATATAAGAAAATAGTTTAAAAAATACTTTTAAAGATAAAAAGTAACGTAAAAGAAATGATATTTTAGAATAAAAATTAATAAAAAATTTATTAACATAAGCTAGTGAAATGAATTATAAAATTTGTATCATTTATTGTAGAATATATTAGAAATATCATAACACCAAAAAAAAGAGTTATGATAATTTTAAACATAATAAAATATAAGAATAATAATAAAAAAATATTATTAAAATATAAATAATTAAGTTGACAATATAAAATTTTAATTAATTATTATTCCTATAAATGTATAAAAAAATCCTAATAAATAAAAAACAAAATAGATAACGTAAATAGGTGAAAGGAAACATAACATTCATATCATTTGACTTAAAATAGATAAAAAGTATCGTAACACATTAAGAAAGAATTATGATAATTCTAAACGTATTAAAAAGTAAAAAAAAATGTAAAAATATATTATTATAACATAAATAATTATGATAATTATTAAATTTTAATTAATTATTATTTTTTGTGTGTGTGTATATATATAAAGAAAATAGCTATAAATTAAAAATAAATTGGCATCATAAACAAGTGGAAAGAAATGTAAAATTAGTGTAATTTGACATAAAATAGGTAGAAAAATATTGTAATACATTAAGAAAAAATTATGACAATTTTAAATATAACAGAAGCTAAGAATAATCGTAAGAAGATATTATTGTAACATAAATAACTATGTTGTTTATGTAAAATTTTAACTAATTATTATCTTTTAAATATATAAGGAAAGTAGGTAAAAATTGAAAAATAAATAGGTAACGAAAAAAAAGTGAGAAAAATAGAAAATGAATATTATTTGATGTAAAATAGATAAAAAATGTTGTAACACACTAAGAAATAGCTATTACAATTTTAAATGTAATTAAATGTAAGAATAACCATAAAAAAATTCTTGTAACATAAATAATTAAGTTACCAACTTAAAATTTTAATTAATTATTTTTTAAATATATAAGAAAAATAGCTAAAAATTAATATATATATATATATATATATATTGGTAATGTAAACAAGTTAGAAGAAATGTAAACATAATACATTAAAAAGAATTATGACAATGCTAAATGTAATGGAAAGTAAGAACAATCATAATAAAATATTATTGTAATGTAAATAATTATATCAGCAACATAAAATTTTAATTAATATTGTTTTGTAAATAACTAAGGAAAATAACTAGAAATTAAAAAATAAATTGGCAATGTAAACAAGTAAACACATTATAAAATTAATATCATTTGGCGTAAATTGGGTAAGAAATGTCGTAACACATTAAGAAAGAGTTATAACTGAAATGAATCTGTAAAGAATAAATGTTTTGCCCTATCCCATTTACAGTTATGACATGTATATTTATATCATGAGAGAGTATAGCACATTAATATATAACTAAATGTATAACTATTGATAACAGATTCTAATATGCCCCCTTAAATGATTAGGGAGATTTTCACAAGAAACTTGTTTTTAAATGGATGAAAATTTGAGGAAAAAAGTTCCTTGGTAAATATATTAGCTATTTGTGACTGAGAATGGACAAAAATGACTCAAAGAAAATGCTTGCAAACAAGGTTTCGAACAAAGTGATAAGAGGTCTTTATATGTTTTGTGCAAGCATGAGAGATTAGATTGGCAGCACCTATTATCAAAATGTACAAAACAAGGTAGTGCAATAGGAAATCCAAACTCATTCAATATATAAGAAATCCAAAGTATATTTCAAAAAGTTATAGAAAGAGCCATATACTCTACTTTAGTACTAGATTAAGCAATAGAAACTTGCTTTTTAGTATACCAAGAAACAAGATTAGAACCTAAGAAAATATAATAACCTATTGTAGAATGTCTAGTGTCTAGACAACTAGCCCAATTAGCATCAACATAGCATGCTAAATTCGGTGTAATGCAAGGAAGTAATTGAATACCATAATTGATAGTTCCTTTAAGATATCTCAAGATTCATTTTATAGCCTAAAAGTGATTATCACGAGGTGTATGCATAAATTGACAGACTTGTTCCGTAGTATAGGGTAATGTCAGGTCTAGTAAAGGTAAGATATTACAAAGCTCCAATAATGGTGCAATATTGTGATGGGTTTGAAAGTAAAGTTCTATCATATAGAGAAAGCTTCTAACTAACGGTTACTGGAGTAAAAGTAGGTTTGCAGTTTTTCATACCCAAATGTGAAAGTAGAGACAACACATATTTTGTGTATGTTAACAACAAATATTTACGTGTACGATGTGCCTTTATTCCAAGAAAATAATGAAGACTACTGAAATCTTTCCTGAAAATTATGAAAAAAACTATAAAATGAATGAATAAATAACACTTAATGAAGAGCCAGTGAGAATGATATCATCCATATAAAGTAAAAATACCATCATACAAGATGAAGAATGCCATATAAACATAGAAGGATCTGCTTGACTGCTTTTGAAACCAAAGGTATGAAAAGCAAAACTAAATCTCTGAAACCAAGCTCGTGGAACTTGGCAAAGACCATAAAAAGAGTGATGTAATTTATAAACATGATGAGGATAATTAGGGTCCACAAACCCTGGTGGTTGTGCCATATAAATTTTTTAATGCAACTTGCTGTATAAAAATGCATTTTTGACATTTAATTACTTGATGGACCATCATTTACTAACAGTAATAGAGAGATCAATTCGAATAGTGATTGCCTTAACAACAAGGCAAAATGTGGAGTAAAAGTCAATACCTTCTAGTTATATGAAGCCTTTGACCACTAATCTTATTTTATATCACTCAATGGTACCATCAGCTCATTCTTTGATTTTATAGATCCAATGACAACCATTCATGAATGAATTACGAGGCACTAAAAATCAAGTATTTTTTTTCATGAAAGTAGAATATTCATCATTCATAGTTGAAATTCATTTTTCATCTTGACATGTTTTTTTGAAGGATCTTGGCTCAAGAAATGGATAATTTGTAGCATGTAACAATTACGGTACTTTAGGCCTTCGAGTACTATATTAACTTTGTGTAACCATAGGATGTATGGTTCTAGAACTAGAAGAAGAGGAAAGCTCATATGGGGGTTAAGCATTTGGTGCCAACACAGTTGTATCAAGTTTAAAAATAGTTGTATTTGGGATTGAAGCATTTGGTAGTGGTTCTGACATAATTGTAG